CTACCTTGTCACATTTGCAGTGATATGGATTAATTTTCCTAAGAGTTTCTACAAGGTCTCTTTTTCTTTTTTCTTTTTGCATTTCAATTGCATTGTATGTGATCAATTTCAATGACAAGTGAATTGCAAGTGGAAAATTTCTGACAGAAGCTGAGCTGTACTTGACATTTTGGAGTCCCAGTATCTGAGTAGCTCTCAAAAAGGTCATATAAAACTTTGTGGCATTGCAAAATGCCAAGGGCAACTCAGTAGCAATTGAAAATTGAAAGGGAAATCATATTCTATCCCAAATCAGCCATGTAGATTCTGAAGAAGGATCTCTGTTCTATTAGTTGTGTTAGGAACAAATGGAAAATTGTCCACTGATATTGAAAAAATTTCCCCAATAGGCATTCATCTCTTTGCATGATTTATGGATATAGTTTTACTACCAATCTATCTACACCATGCCAAGTGTTCATTTTCTTTCCTTGATTTGTCTTAAATAAAGAATTCTGTCACTAAAGAAGGCTGTAAATCCACGTTAATTCCTCTGTATTCTTGAAACTTAACAAACCTGATCTTTTTCAATATTACAGGGAGAAAAAGGTAGAGAGAATATGATATCTGAAAATAGGCAAACTTCAAAATCTTTTTAAGAAAAGTGAGTTATTCTTGTTGTGGTTGTTAATTTAAGATTAGGTTTAGTACAACAGCAATGGAATAAAAAAATCAGACACATAAATCTTAAAAAAAAAAATGAGCCAGCAAGGATTCAGTTCTGCATTTATAAGTAATATTTCTGTGTGTGGGCGATGATGACGATGGCGGAAATAGAGCTTCTCTTTCATAAGTTATGTTTTATGAAAGCAGTTAAAATGATGAGCTATATGTGAATATCTTAGAGCTTTGTCCTATTCTATGTGGGCTCTTCCCTTCAAATTACTAGTGCTTGAACATAGGGTGGTTTAAAGTTTAGGAATTAGTAAATCGATGTATTCTTCTGATCACCCTCCAGAATGTTACTGAAGTCTTCTATTCTGGACACATTGGAGTGGATCTTGTTATTTCTATCATTCATTTATTTAGCTAATAGTCTTCCAATATTCACTATTTTTTACTATAAATTCAGCACTGAGCTTGGCACCAGAGATACGATAATGGGCAAAAACAGCTGAGGTTGGTCTCTTCCTTTCGTGGATATTACGTGTTAGAAGGAAAACATAAATATTAATAAATAATTCAGAAATAAATATACTGGTGAAGGACGTCTGTGGAGCCATGTGCACAAGCACAAAACCAGATTAATCTGGGTCCAAATCCCACTTCTTCCTCCTCCTAGTTTTACCACCTTGAGCAAGACACTGAAACTCATTGAACATCAGTTTCTTTTTCTCTAAAATGAAGCTATTCATGCTGACAGGATTATTACATAAATTTGAAATTATCATGAAAGTTACCTAATAATAATGATTACAAGGAGCGGACAAAGCCAAGTAATCCCACCAGAGGACAGGGTCTTCCTTCCCCCACCCACTCCAGCTCTATTATCTTCCTTAACTTCTGACTCCCGCAGAATCCAAGAAACACACCAACACTTTTTCTATAATTTAACGTAAGTTTATCAAAGTCATCCTCTGTCCAGAACTGAACAAAGACAAAGTAGAATTGCTTTTAATTATAATGTATCGAATGTATACTACATACCAACTATTGTGCAGGTATTTGCTATTTTTATTTCATTTAAAGATTGTAACAACCTTTTAAGTAGATATTATTTTTATCCCTAATTTACAATGAGGAAATTGAATCTCAGATATATAAATTTACTTGTTTTGGTAACACTGGTTGAATCTGAATACAGATCTTTCTACAAAGCCAGCACGGTTTTCTTGTATCTCCCTGGTTTTCCTTTTCCTAGTCCATTTGCTAGTACAGTACTTTCTTGAGATTTTAAATTGTACTTTGAAATTCTGCATCCTGTATTCTTCTTCCATCCCCTATTCCACATCCTTCTCTTTTCGGTGTGTTAACACACCCTAGATGTTTCAACATTCTGCTACCACTTCTGTGTTCTGGCAAGAACTGGGGACAATTAATGTTCTTTTAATTAAATGGATGGCTTTCTGGGAAATGGTGGCAATTCCACTTAACAGATATGCCTGAGCTAAGGGAAAAAAAAAGATAAAGAAGAAAGATGTGATGAAAGACTTTTATCCTGTGAAATGCAAATAACATCAAGAAAGAATTAGCTGATGAGGCAATCTCTTCCTAATATGGGAACAGAATGATCTACAATCAATTGCGTAAAGGAAAGAGACAGGCAAATATATCCCAGTGGAAGAGAAAAAGAAGAAAAAATGGAAGGGGATTTTACTACTGATTTAGGTTGTGGGGCAAATAACTACACCTGTTTTACTTAACTGCAAAAACAAATAAACATTATAATGCTGGTTCCTGTCTTTATGTAATACAAACATCATGAGAATAAATTAGATTTCATAAGTGAATTAGAAAGATGCCTTATAAATATTGAAGTGGGACTGGCTTGGTAGGTGATTTAAATAACCTTTACAATTTCTTAGAAACTCAAGATTTCTAAGATTCCTTAAAATCCTATGAGTGCATATATGTATGGGACAAATTACACCATTGCTGTGTACAGAATTTGCAAAATTAATACACAGAAAGACTATCATTGGTACTCAATAAATCTTTATGTAATTAATAAATAAATGAACAAGGAGGAAAACCATCCCAATTCACTTATTTAAACATGAGGATTGGTTGAAAGTCTAAAGCAATCATAGCCCTAAATCCCTTCTCCAACACTGTGAAACGGGGAAATCATACATGATGGGAGGTTATTCATTACAGAAATTGAACTGAAATTGTTCTGAACGTGGGCGATGAGGCACGGTGGGTGGCACTGAACTGAAA